TCAAACATGCTCTTTGAGGGATTAGTGATGTTTTCGGACCGATGTAGCTAGATGGGTCTGGGTACATGAGACACTATTTCTGTTCATTTTGGATTAATGTCTCTATGCTGACTCATATTAAGTTTCTAGTATAGAGCTCCCACATGCAGGTGTTCTTAGCGGTCGCACGGTGCATTGGCTAGTACGAGATTGTTCATTTTTGGGGAGATTGAGATAGAGATGTGGCAGTGTCATGCCAACTCATGTGTGAGTGGGAGATGTTAGAAATTGGGCGCCCATGTGGCATGACCCATGAACCTTTTGAACCTTATCCATATAAGTTTGAATTTGAATTCAAAACTTATTTGGATAACCACTCATGATATCTATATCTATCATATCAACTGATATGGATGGATGATATATTTATCCTATATATCTAATATGATATATGGGATATGAGATATGAAACAACGTATGTTTTTCCCATACTGACTCTCTCCCATTAAACAACAATCAAGCTTTTTGCATTGTGACTTGTGTGGGTGATACTCATATTGTGGTATCACTCCACTGCTGGGTTTGTTGTTCGCATTCTTAAAGCACGTGATTTACTCACGAGATTCTTCGCTTCAGGTTCTATCACTAAGGTATGATCTAAAATTTTTACCCGCTACGTTATACTTCAATTTACAGCTCCAATTTTTGCTGAAGCATTAGTGCATCTGTTGGTTTCACTATACACACATGTTTAAGGGCGCATAGCTTCGGCCAAGTAGGAACTTAGAATCTTCAATGAGGGTTGGGCTTTGTTTTGTATTAAATCAATTGCCTCATTGCAATCCATTTTGATCTCTATATCAGTCCAATTGTTTTAAAAAATGATTCTTAAACCACGATATACGCCCTGGATTTCTGTCTTTAAAGTAGTTCCTCTTTCAATCTTCCCAGAATAACCAAGGATTCACATTCCTTTTTCATCTCCAAACCGCTGTCCATATCCCACTTTCTATGGAGGATTCTTAGCACATCCATCTGCGTTGAGCTTGAATTTTTCTACAATAAGATGAATCCATTGAGTTAGTATGGGGTTGTTTTGCCTTGTAGATAAGGGAAAAGTAAATGCATCATGCATTTAAAAAACCTGACGAGTTATTTAGTTCATGCTCTCCCTTGGCTTAACCTTTACATTATCAAACACTTCGTGATTTCTAGCCTTCCAGTTTTGCCACAAGATGACAATGAACCAAATATTCCAATGTAAGTTTTGAAAACACATACCTTTATTTTTTGCATTTTGGCTAAGCCATTCGAGAATAGGTTTGTCGTATGCTTCCCTTATCCACTTATTATCTTTGAAAATTACCCATAGTTGTTTGGCATATGCACAATCTTTCACAAGGTGAGCCATATCTTCACTATACAGCCCACATCTTGGGCATAGATCCACAGTTCTAAGGCCCCTATTCACTCTCATTTGGTTTGTTAGTAGGTGGCCATGCATACAAAGCCCGAGAAATCCCTTCAATTTTTGAGGAATTCTGAACTTCCAGATCCATTTCCAGTTAGCGTGCTGCTCATCTGTGCCCATTGTGAGATCATATGCAGATTTAGCTGAGAATAGGCCATTACTCGATCCCGTCCAGCTCGCTTTATCTGGGTATATAACAAAGTTAAGTAGACGGATGTTCAAAATGTTCATTTTGTCTTGATGCGAGATCAAATCCTTAATGCTGCTAATATCCCATTTGCCTTCATTGTCAATTATGCTTTCTACCTTGTCTTGGTTATCGCAATGAGGTCCTGGATAAATTCAGATAATGGGTAGTCACCACACCATCTGTCTTTCAAATTGATACTTGTCTACCATCCCCAATTGTCCGCTTGGTGCCTTTCCTTAGAATATGTTTAGTTTTGACAATGCTTTTCCAAAGGTGTGAACCTCCTTTTTTGGACGGCCAATTGAACAAAGAATTGTTGCAAAGATATTTTCCTTTCATGACTTGTGTCCATAGGTTGTCCTTTTCATATAGCATATTCCACACCAGCTTGGTTATGAGAGCAAGATTTTGATTTTGAGCTTTCCTGATTCCCAAACCTCCTAACTCTTTGGGTTTGCACACTTGGTTCCAGTTAATAAGGTGGATTTTCTTTTTGGTGTCATAATATTCCCCCCACAGGAAATTTCTATTCGCTTTGTCAATTCCTTGCAAATGCTTCAAGGTAATTCAACAGTTTGCAGCACATAGAATGGCATAGTAGAGGTTACAGAGTGTGGACCTTCCAGCCAAGGATAGTGTGTTAGCTTTCCAACCTGAAAGTCTCTTGTGCATTTTCTCAATGACGAATTGAAATTGGGATTTGGACGCCTAATTATGCAATATTGGAGTTCCAAGATATTTCCCCAGGTCTTGAGTGAGTGGAATATTGTAGCAATGGCTTAAATCACGAGCTTTGTTGTTCGATATTGAGGCTGAAACAAACATTTGATTTCTGAAAATTTATTTTCTGACCAGAAATCTCACAGAACTCTTCCATGACTTCCATAATTACATTATAATTCTCCAGGTTCGCTTTGACCAATAGAAGGAAGTCATTAACAAAAGAATAAATGGGATATGGGTGGGCAAGTTTTAACCGTTTCGATACCCTTCCATATGCCCTTTTCCACTTTGCAATTTATTATGTTAGATAATCGCTCCGTGCACATAATAAAGATGTAGGGGGATAGTGGATCTCCTTGTCTAATCCTTTTACCCATAGAAAAATTAGTTTTTCCCCATTCTAGAGAATGGATATTGACAGAAGTAACACAACTCATGATCAGTTTAATCCATACGTCATCAAATTGGAAATCGATTAAGGTTTGGTGAACAAACGTCTAAAAAATTCATCATAGCCTTTCTCGAGATCTAGCTTTAAAATCATACCACCCCATTTACTCTTCTTAAGTGTGAATAATCTCTTAGCTAATAATAATGTTTTCCGTGATAGATCTCCTAGGGATAAAGCTGCTTTGATTAGGGCTCATGATGCTATCAATGAAAGGTCTGAGACAACTAGCTAACCAGGGTTTTTGTCACTATCTTGTAGTGGACATTGCATAGGCTAATGGTCTTCGAGTAATTGATTAGGGTTAATTAATGGCTTTGTATAAGAGACTCCGCCTAATGTGAGAGTCAGAATAAAGTTCTATTTAACTTGTTTGACAAATTATTATGTTGGTTAATTATACTTAGCAATCTTTACTTTTTTATTTGAAGTGCATATAGTTTTGGGTAAGAGGCTCTTATGGGTACTATCTATTCTTCACACATTGTCATTTCAGTCCCTAGATAGGTAATTTCTGCATTTGACTCTTTTATTCTTTGTCATTTTAGTCCCTTCAATTTTAATTGACTCTATTTTAATTAGGTAAAAGTATGGTGTGTATTATATGCAACTTATGTTATTTGTGAGGTAAAACTATTAGATCTTAACTAAAATAATATCACAAAGAATACTATAATAAATCATAACTAACATTATAATATGTGATAACCAAGAAATAAAAAATTGAAAAATTGAAAGGAAAAAAAAAAAAAAACCCAAACCCCCTAACTAGGGCTGCATGGTAGAATTTCCCATTTTAGGTCTAAAAGTAGACCCGAAGGCCTGCAAGGACGGACGCAAGGATGGAGGCTGCAAGGAGAGGATCCTGATTCCTAACTAGGGCTGCATGGTAGAATTTCCCATTTTAAATATGCTTTAAAATTTTATATCAATTTAATTCAATTAATTACCACATGTACCCCTACTCCCTTGTTCCACCATTGTGGCCACCACCAACTCCCATTATCTGCATTGCAAAATCGAAAGTTCACATACCCATCTATTATTGTTGCCCCAAATGATACAAAATAAAAATTAGAATTTCAAAAACCCCTTAGCCACCATTGGTATCCCATCTATTGCAAAATCAAAATAAAAAATATCAAAATTTAACTAACCTCCTACTCACTACAAGAAATGTCACTTTTGGCTACCAAAATATTGGTAGCCAAAAGTCACTTATTTAGTCGCCGAAACGATTTAGCGACCAAAAATTTTCGTCGCTAAACTCGTCGCCTTTACCCTGTCGGCGATAGTATTGGCGACTAAAATTTGTTTAGTCGCTGAAAGTGTACACATTTGGCTACTAATTAATCTTAGTTTAGTCGGCAAACGGTATGTTTCCGCAACTAAAGTATTAGTCGCTGAAAGTACACATTTGGCTACTAACTTGTTGTGGTCGGGGAAGGTATCACTTTTAGCTACTAAATAATTGGTCGCCGAAAGTACACATTTAGCTACTAATTTGTTGTGGTCGGGGAAGGTATCACTTTTAGCTACTAAATAAGTGGTCGCTGAAAGTACACATTTGGCTACTAATCTTAGTTTAGTCGGCAAAAGGTATGTTTTGGCCACTAAAGTATTAGTCACCAATAGTTTCTTTCTCTCATTCTCAAATCTTTTAGCTACTAATTATTTGGTGGTAAAAACATTTTGGGTTATGTTTTTGCTACTAAATTATTAGTAGCCAAAACTTTTGATTACCTATTTGGCTACCAAAACATTTGGTAGCCAATAGTTTCTTTCTCTCATTCTCAAATCTTTTAGCTACTAATTATTTGGTGTCATTTGTTTGTCTAATGTACAATGTGAGAGATCAAACAAGTTCCTTGAACATTCAAATCTACAAGTTTCATTCAATCTCAGGTAGATATAGCTATGCAAATTGGGAGCTCAAATCTCACATTTGCAAGAAGAAAAAAAATTACACATTAAGCACAATTTCTAAGTTATAACTCAAAAATTAAAGTAAAATCCAATATAATGGCCAAAGGGACCATTTAGAAAATACATGTACATTAAAGTGACAAAAATTGGACCATCCACTTAAATAGCAACGTGTCTAAGTAATACAAGGCATGCTACACAGCCATTACTAGCACACATTTGTTAACAGTTAACTACAAAACCAAAAGAAAGAATTGTGCTCATTTTGAGAATTGTGCTCTGTTCCCAGCAGAAGGAAAGGTGGAAATGGCATGAAAGATAGATTCCATTGGGCATTTTGTTAAAGACCATATAATGTCAAAAGGGTTAGAATTTCAATACACAATTCATATATTTCTATACACTTTCTACATATTCGAATCTACTTTTTACACATATACCCCATTAGATGGGGTGGTTAGCATTTCCTTTTTTGGGAATTACTTTTCCTAAAAGAAGATACCCTCAAAAGCTCGACGAAATGCCATTGCTTCTGCCTTCTGCATTGGATCTCCAAAAATTGCATCGTTTACAGGAGCAGTACCTGTTGACTCCTTATATATCTTATCAAAAACACAAAACAAAAGTGAAGAGCAACCAAGGTCAGTTCCCTCACACACACATTTTTTCTTGACATTAGAAAAATGGACATAACAACCCTAAATAGGGTAATATAATAAATAAATAAATGAAAATCTGTCAGAAAGTTCCTAGAACACATGCATTTTACACAAATCTGTCAGACAGTTCATAAAGCACAGGTGCATCTTACATAAAGATGCATTTCAGTTCCTTGAGCCCTTGACCTAAGATGAGTTTTTTAACTGATTATATATGCCCCTTCATGTTTCTCTCCTCTCATTCCTTCTGTCCACTGAGAACAGGCACAAATTGTTAATAAATGATAGACGGATAGAAAGACAAGGATTCCAAAAACAGCCCACTTAAAGCCCATCATTAGCCAATAAAGGAGCTCTTGCATAGAAAGTCATGTTTGTTAGGAATTTTAATTTTTAGGAGTTTCTACTTTGGTTATAATTTCCCTAAATTTTAAGTAAAGCTAGAAGTCCTTTCCAGGGCTACTGTCTAGCCTGTTATTAGTTTATAAAATTTATATTGCAAGAAATGCTATTGGTTAAATGTATAAGAGAGAGTTTGATAAAAGTAGGACATGTCTATACTTTTGACAATCATGTTAAACCAATCAATCAATTTCAATCTCCCCTTCAACTATATGCAAGACTTTGTAATGAATGAGATAAAAATCAGTAAAAAGGGACTACCACCTCCAGCAATGTAACAACCCTCATTTTGACTTGGCCACACTGGCATACATTTATGGACGATCTTGTGTTAACATTTACATTTGCAAATCTTGTCTTGTTTTGCTTGAATGATTGCTTGCATACCTTGTTCTTGCCTGTTGTGTTGCCGAGGTCGTCTTAAGCCTAGGCACCTTCGAGACCTCTGTCACTTAGAACTATCTTAGAACCCCGTGGTTGACCTCCATCTTCGCCCTGGCATATTGGCCGAGATGTCACCATCTAGGCCGAGGTGCGCGTTGCCTAGGCCGAGATGTGCACCATCTAGGCCGAGATATTAATATCTAGGCGTTCTAGATCCTTGGTCCTTGCATGAGTGATTTTGTTCCTGGAATGGTATGACCTAGACCGAGGTGTGGCACACCTAGGCCAGGGTGTGGCACAATTTAGTCAAGTGTTGTCCTTCCAAGCCGATGTCCTTGCCCCTTGATTTCCGGAGTCTTGTTTTAGCCGATGTTGTTTCTTGCCGGTGTGTTCGTGCCGCCTAGCTTGCTGAGTACGCTTGGTCTTGTCTTGTCAAGTCAGTCACCTTTTTGAGTTGAGCGAATCAGCCGATGCCACGTGTCCCGACAGAGGGATTAAGTCAGTGTTTGTCGTGTGAGGCATATCATTTGGTATCAATCTTGCCTTTTAGAGAGAGAAGCTCTAGTTAGAAGGAGGAGAAGTTTGAACTAGAGAGGGCGACTTCCAAGCTTGATCGTTAGAGCTTAAGCCGTTAGATTTGAGTTTTGAGGTTAGAATCTTAACCTATTCTTGTTGTTCTTGTCCATTATCTAGCTGCATTGCACGATCAAATCTGTTTTACACACCATCCATCTGTTTAAAGTGGGTTTTAGAAAGAGAAAACGATTTTCATGTGTTTTTGAAGAAAAGCCTCGTTTATAATGGCCAAAGGGACCATTTAGAAAATACATGTACATTAAAGTGACAAAAATTGGACCATCCACTTAAATAGCTACGTGTCTAAGTAATACAAGGCATGCTACACAGCCATTACTAGCACACATTTGTTAACAGTTAACTACAAAACCAAAAGAAAGAATTGTGCTCATTTTGAGAATTGTGCTCTGTTCCCAGCAGAAGGAAAGGTGGAAATGGCATGAAAGATAGATTCCATTGGGCATTTTGTTAAAGACCATATAATGTCAAAAGGGTTAGAATTTCAATATGTTTTTCCAAAGATAAGAAACTGTGTTTCGATTTGATTGACTTAGTTTTTGAAGAATGCCGAGGTCATTTGCATGTAAGTTAGACTTGTTTTGAGTAGTGCATTCAATAGACTTTGCCATGTGTTGTAGGACTTGGACCTGCCTTGACCCCGACGTTTGAAGAACCAGGTGAGTGGTATTTCTAATAAAGCTATGTTATAACATTTTGTTAAAGCTTCGTTTTGCTTGTTTTGAAAAGTATTTGTTAAGCATGAATGATATCCCTATTTTATGAATCAAGTATAAGCTTTGTTTTGAATGGCAATGTATCAAGTAAGCTTTGTTTTGACGACGTTTTCGGAAAGTCCCTCGTGCTGGAGGACTCTAAACTTTCGCAGCACCCTTGATTTGTACCCAAGTGTTAAAGGGCTACGGGCTCTTGTAACATAGGTCCCTTATACTGGAGGACTCTAAACTTGAGCAGCACCTAAGTGTTAAAGGGCTACGGGCTCTTGTAACATAGGTCCCTCGTGCTGGAGGACTCTAAACTTTCGCAGCACATCTTGTCTTGAAAGTCCCTCGTGCTGGAGGACTCTAAACTTTCGTAGCACCCTTGAATTGCACTCTGGTGTTAAAGGGCTACGGGCTCTTGTAACATAGGTCCCTTGTGCTAGAGGACTCTAAATTTTCGTAGCACCCTTGTTTGAGATGTCTATCTTGCTTTGTCTTGTTTTGCCACGGATGGTCTACCGCGTGGATATGTTTGCCGAAATGTTATTATTTGTAATATGTGATGCTAGTACGTATCCCTTGAAACTGTGAAGATTTGTTAGATGGACGAGGTCCATTCCTTGTCATATATATATGGAGTTTTGTCTTGTATTGTTTTGAAAGGATTTCGGCTATTATTCATGCAAACCCCCTTTATTATTTATGCCATTCACTGAGTATCCAAGATCACCCTCTCTATATATATGTAGGTGATGAACAAGAAGGCGGTGACACCTAGATGTGATTTCTGGGTCTTATTTATGTTGGCTTAACCTGCACCTATGCTAGCAGTCTTGAAAATCATGCTTCTCGACTTGTAATATTTGTATTTTGAACACATCTGCTGAGAAGCCTTTTGATCAAGATGTATGTTTTTGTGTGATTGTTATGTCGGCAAAGAAGATGTCGGCAACCTGACAAACTGTGTACTTAAATCTGTAATTTGTACAATTTGTTTATGTTGGCTTGTGGAGCCCTTTGCTAATACGAAAAATGTAACTCGCACTTTGCTTGTTTGTTATTAAGTTATAACCCATATGTGAATGGTTACTATCTCACGTGACTTATGCACTGCTCTTATGGACCACTTGTATTTTGGATTATTGCTTCCGCACTTGTGAGCCCCATATATTTAGACTCTGATTGTGTGCGAATTTTGAAAGTTGGCCTTCGGTAATCTCGGATTACTGGCCATCACGGCACCAAACTACTAGGGGCAGTTTGGGGTCGTGACAAGCAATCCTTGGGCTTCTCCTCCAGTTCATAATGAATGAGACTTTTGACAATCATGTTAAACCAATCAATCCTTGGTCTTCTCGTCCACCACCTCCAGCAATCCTTAGCCATTGAAGTGTTTGCTATCTTCCCAGAGGTCCACAACCAACCACCACATATACCTAATACCTACACTAATGTATTAAGCAAAATATATATTGTTAATAGTCAACCTGTTCCTAATTGTGCTTGTTCAACATATTGAGGAGTTTAGAAAGCAACAGGAACAAAAATACAACCTGTTTTGGATAAATTAAGACATGCGCACTACATGCTTTTAATATAAGTTAGTATTATACAAACACTGAAATTATACTTTCAGGCCCACAAACAAGGTCTATAATATAACTAATCACTCCCATTTCCCAACCACCTTTACAAAGTACCTCATTTGAAGTTAATACAATAACACATGTTCACAACTCATTGTAAACTCATATCTCAACACAGTCTGTATGTTTCCCAAATCAATTTGCCGGTAATAAACTTTAGGTAGAAGCAACAAGGCTATAAACAAACAAATAAATAAATAAGTTAATTAAGTTGGAGTTCAATTAGATTTTAATCAGGAACATGTAATTGGTTGTTAATGATCATCAAAAAATTAAGATTTTCGAGGCCATGATTTCAGCAATCCGAACATGTTCTCGTGGAAGATGAATTGGTGAATTACAAATTTGAGACCTAAAAGGGACAAAACAAAAACTTTTCACATCTCTCAATTTCCCACATACGAAAAACTAAAATTAGTAAGTAAATTTTGACAAACATTGGAGAGAGTAAACAAACCTAAGCTAGAGAAAGTGCGTCCTTGGTACCTCGGATCACTTCCTGTATCTGCAAAACACCGAACACCATCACACATTTCTCAGGAAACAAACACAACCAAATGAGGGGGAAAAAAAGAGTAGATGAAAATGAAAATGGATGAAAACTTAATGAATGAAAATGAAAACTTACCATCATATACATATACACATCAATTATGATAATTTCAGAATAAAACCAAATGTTAATGACTGAGGAATAACCAACAAGGATCAGAACACATTAATAATTAAGAGGAAGCCACAAGGGCATATGCGCTTCTGTGTTTTGTTGAACTTACCTATGATTAATTAACCTTGCAACATTTCCATAATGTGTTGCATCTAAACAAAGAGCCTCTTCATCCTTTAAGACTCCTTCTGAACCCCAATCATCTCTAATTTTTTCTCAAATCCCCTCCAAAATCCTATATCTATATACATCAAAAAAAATAAAAAAATAAAAACATATATACTCAATAGATATATGTATGATGATATATCCCATGGTATCTTTTGAAAGATTAGGACAGCTTTACAGATGGACAATGTATTCTCAACTCAAACACTATATACTATTTCTATTCTAGACTAATTAACATTGTTAAAATCCTGAAAATTGAACCAAAATAATAATTTCTGAAAATCCACACATAATCATCTCAGATGATTATAAAAAACTGTTAAAAAAAACATTTGTCAAACATAACCCAAGTTGGAGGTATCATTCACAAAACCTCCAAAACCGTGAATAGAGAGAGAAGAGGAATAGAGACAGAAACATTACCTTGCACAAATAGAAGCCTCAGGTTTGGTGTAGCTCTGAAGTAGCTCTACCGGAGAGCTCCAATCGGGGTTCGGTCGAAGAGGTCTCTGATCTCGGCTGGCGCTTCGGCTACTATCGGCTGGCCCTCATCTGCCGCCGCTCGCCGTCGATCTCGAGAGAGAGAGAGAGAGAGAGAGGGGAAGAAGAGATTAGGGATTTTTTGGGTTTGAGATTTAGGGATTTCTTTTTTTGGGGAGGGGGTGTGGAAGCGGGAATGGGAAAAAAATAAAGGGGGGAGCGGGAATGGAAATCAATTTAGGGGCGGGGATGAAAAATAAAAATAAAAATAAAAAAATAATTAAATAAATTTATTTTTTGTTAAAATATATATATTTTTTGTAGCTAATGAATTTTTTTTAATTTTTTTTTTTAGTTACTAAGATTGAAAATTTATTTGTTTCATTT